GATGAATCGTTCGTGTGTGTGTGTAGAGAGAGAGAGAGAGAGAGAGAGAGAGAGAGAGAGAGACGATAACTCTCCGACCTCGCGGCCGCCCTTCGCCCGGACCTGCGCGCTTTCGAATTCGCGCTGCCAACGCGCTTCGGCCTGCTTAGCCGGTTCCCGCCCCTTCGCCTCTGCGTGCACACCCCGCTTTGCCCCGCTGGCCTGCTTACCCGGTTCCCGCCAGCGTGCAAAAAAATTTTGTCCTCGCCCCTCCGCCGCTTCGCCTGGGCCTGCGCGCCTTCGAATTCCCGCTGGCCTGTTCCCGCCCCTTTGCGCCCCCGCGTTCGCCCCTGCGCCGGTTCGCCTCCGTCGGCCTCAACCCCGCGGCCCCCCGCCTATGCTTTGTGTCCCAAACAGTTTCCCTTGGGCCCGCGACCGACCATGTCGCGAGACCCTTTGTTTGCCTTAGTATGTATAGAGATTTAGTATGTATAGAGATTATTATTATTATTATTATTATTATTATTATTATTATTATTATTACTTTTTTTCTCCTTTGTTTTTGCGGGGTTCAGAAACCCCAATAACCACACCAACACCATGATACCCCGTAACCCCCCCTTCCCCCTAGCAACCCCATACACCAACCCAACACACCCATACTGCTCCCCAACACCCTCATACCCACCCCATAACCCCCTATAAACCCCCCATACCCCCCCATACCCCCCCATACCCCCCCCGTACTTCCACATTCCCAAACGTTTCTCAGCGGATTTGAGCTGTACTCAGCAAGCCCTGAACTCAGATTTGAAAAAAATTGTGTGGACGGCCGTGAGCCCTCTGCAGACTGGTTGGCACACAGCCGACCGGTCGGCGCTACTGGTAGGCTGCAAAACGGTTGTTGTCGGTCAGCATCTGTGGTCGGTGGGTAGGCAACCTTGATTATTATATTATTGCGAAGAACCAAGCAATTTTTTTTTTTTTATGGACCACGGATCAGATATTAAACTGATCATAACAGAATTGAAAGATACTACACTTGACAGTGCCGGACCCGTGAACGTGACCGGCCGTTCATTTGGTGTTTTTTTTGTAAACCGCCGTTCACAGTAAACGGGCCGACCACAAAAGAGTGGTGTTCTTTTTTTTTTTTTTTTTTTTTTT